CTTAGCCCGGATTTTCAGCAACAACTGCAATTAACAGTCACGGTAGTTGGACCTAGCGTTTCTGACTACCCTCATTTTCATGGTCTGCATTAAATCATGGAACCGGGTCCAGTTAACTTCGCGGAGTATATCGAATCATGAAAACCTCTTTATTAAAATTAATGGAAGTTATCATGGGTTATTTAAATCAGACCACAGTAACTTATGTGTATACAGTTAAAAATTTAAACACGGAAATAAAATTTAAATATTTTTAACAAAAAATAATACAAGATTGAAGGGTCGGTTCAGAATAAAATAGGTAAACTAAAGTGAGCCAGTAATAAATTTAAAAAATACTAATTATCACTAAATGTAATAATAAAATAATTAATAATCTAAGATTTTATAAAAAAAAAACACCTGAAGTTTCCAAAATACTATTAAATAACTAAGCAGTCAATGTTTAGCCAATTCGGGTATCATCGGGATAGAAAAATATTAAATGCAGAAGAGAGATGCATATAAATGCAGAAGAGATACAACACGTCTCACATCAGAAAAGTAAAAAAAAATACTAACAAAACATTGGGATCAGACAACACACTTCTCTAAAATAACATTTAAAAGCTATTTAGCTTGATTTATCTAAAATTTCGTTTTAGAGTAAAGTACATACATAAATTTCAGCTATCTTATAGTTTACGAAAACATCTCAAAATACCAAAATAGTTTTATTTTATTAGTTCTTGACGTTTAAGAATTCATGCCCCATATTTAGAACAATTATTGTAGATTACAATGAGGTATAAATATTTCTGACGTTTTGGTTTTTACATAACAAAGAAAAATATGTCTGCTAAGTATGATCAGTTAGATCATGTTTTCGTAGGTTGCACAATTACCTATATTTCAAGGTATGAACTTTTTTGTTGAAACCTTTTTAAAGAATAAGAATAACTTAAGAATGTAAAATAAATGATGATCAATAAAGTGTTGATTATTGGCAACAGTGGGCATACGATAACACAAACGTATTAACTCACTGCTGCCAAAACCCCGTATGGCAACAATGTGAAGAAGGGGGGGGGGATAGTACTTTGGACTGGAAGGATTGGATGCGTTTTGTATTCGAATGTTTAGCAGTTCCCCACAGTTCAGGTCCGTAGGTTTCGGTATGCTCTTGTCGATTAATTTTTCTGTTGTTATCTATTGCCGTTCAAGAATAAGATCTTCGTGAGAAGCCGTAATTCATTAATATTTGCGAGTTTGATTTCCGCGAGTTATAATCATAAGCGAGTACAAAAATGTGGAAGTACGAATTTGGAAATTGCACATTTCACTATTCGCAATCACGAACTTAAACGATTCCCAGTACTGTGTGTGTATTCATATTGAACATGCATATGTTCTTAATAGGCATGTTTACGTTCGTAAAATGGACAGAACAAAAATCCATTGAATAATTCAATTTTTTATTTATTTGCAGTTATCGTAACATTCTATCTCCCCACACTGCTGAAGTTTAGGAATTCCTCTTTTCACCAATTCCTCTCTCTTGGGTGTGGAAACACTCCATAATCATCCTGTTCCCAAAACTAGGTAAACCTATTAATAACACATCATCCTATAGACCGATAAACTTACTCCCGATCCTCTCAAAAATCTTTGAGAAAATCCTTCTCAAAGGCATCCTACCCATACTTCAATCCCACAACATCCCTTCTCATCAGTTTTTATTCCGCTCATGACATTCCACTGTCCAACAAGGCCTTCGTGTTGTGGACCATATATCCTCTGCACTTGAAAACAAGCAATTTTTCACTGATGCCTTTCTGGACGTAGTGTAAGCTTTCTACCGAGTGCGGCACGATGGCTTGCTGTTCAAGCTCAAAACCCATTTACCCCAACCCTTATAATTAGTCCTCAAATCCTACCTCTCAAATCATTCCTTTCAAGTCCGTGGTGACACTGAATTCACCACTAACTTTTTTTTTCTTGTGTCCTTCCCTTCCTCGCCGTCAAGGCTATACGGGATTTTCCCGGGCCAGGGAGTGTGGGCGGGGATTTAAAAGACTCCCCCGGCACCGGGGCGCGAACTCGTGACTATTTTTATATCTTTGATTCATATGTCAGGTTGCCGGGCAACGGCGGTGCAGTGCACACGCTTTAGCCCATTCGGCCACCCCGCCCACAAGAAGAAATTCACCACTAACTATCCAGTTGAGGCTGGTGTTCCATAAGGTAGTGTCTTCGGCCCAGTTCTCTACATCCACTTCACTGCCAATATTCCTTCAAATCCCGATACATTCCTAGCTACATTTGCTGATGATACTGCCATTCTACCCTCCCACTCAGATCCTCCAATAGTATCCTGAATCCTACAATCTCACCTATCTTTGATTGAGCAGTGGTGCAATAACTGGCGCTCCGAAATCAATGACAAGAACTTAACCGATGATAAGGTTAAGCTAGTCTAGGCAACAAAGCAGGATATCTCATCTTTTGATTGAAAATAAACTTTTAATCGACAAGAGCATACCGAAACCTACGGACCTGAACTGTGGGGAACTGCTAAACATTCGAATACAAAACGCATCCAATCCTTCCAGTCCAAAGTACTTTTTTTTCCACACATTGTTTTCATACGGGGTTTTGACAGCAATGGTTTAATACGTTTGGGTTCTCGTATGCCCACTGCTGCCAATAATCAACACTTTATTGATCATAATTTATTTAACAATATAAAATAAATGATCCAGTCCAAAGTACTTTTTTTTTTTTTTTTTTTTGGTCCTTCCCTTCCTCGCCGTTAAGGCTATACGGGATTTTCCCGGGCCAGGGAGTGTGGGCGGGGATTTAAAAGACTCCCTCGGCACCGGGACGCGAACTCGTGCCTATTTTTATATCTTTAATTCATATGTCAGGTTGCCAGGCAACGGCGGTGCAGTGCACACGCTTTAGCCCATTCGGCTACCCCGCCCACCCAGTCCAAAGTACTTAAAACAATAGTCAATGCCACATATTATGTCACAAACAAGATCCTTACACCATGACCTTAACATTTCATTTGTCCTTGACATCATCCCATCCAGATGCTCAAACTTTCATCAGAACCTTATCCATCATCCAAATCTTCTATCCCAATCCCTATCCAGCTCCCACCATCCCTACAATCTTTCGCGAGGGTTAAAACGGCAGTGGCCCCGAGATCTCCTATGTAGGATATATGGGATCTCCTGGAGTCCTGCTTTGCCTTTCACTTTTGAAGGACAATGCTTGGCGAAGTTCCCTGGGCGAATGTAAATATTGTACATAGGAATAAATGTGTTATGAAGATTTATTTTATTTTTACTTATTGATTTATTTCTTATTTCACTTATGTATCATTTATTTATGTTATTCTATTTTTATATTTACTGTTTCTTAGTTTACTCATATATTTACTTTTTCTTAGTTTACTCATTTATTTTTATTTATTCATTTATTTATTTTTCATTTCCCTCTATTATATATGTATGGGGACATTATATGTATATATGGTATGGCATTTAGCCTTATTACTTGTTGCCCTTCAATGTACTATTTACCGTTAAAAAAAAAAGTAAATAAATAAAAAAATATCGTAACCAACCTTTTCCACTAGTCACAATAAAACTAATATAAGAAGGAATGTAAAAATATGAGTGAAGTTTGCAATTTCCATGAAAATAAGGCATATTTAAAATTAATTGACACCTATGTCTTACTCTTTAACAATAATTAGTTCAAATACCTATGGAATATGGCTCCTTATTACTTTACAGATCAAGAGTGAAATCTTTTTGAACTTCTCGTTGTTTTGAAATGTTGTTTGAACTTCGAAGAAAACAAACATTATCACAAAGTGGCAGAAGTACTAAGATGACTTGCGGGTTTAGAGATATAGACGTATTAAGGAAAACACATATATAATAGAAAGGAATGTACAGAATTCAATTGCATTGTCCCAACATTATTTTTTCACAAATAGCTGCTTTTTATCCAACTTTGAGCAAAATCGAACAAGCCGTTTCTTAAATATTGGAATATTCACGAAAATACGTTTGTACGTGCGTACGCGGAAGTGATGGTTAGAATTTAATAAAATTTAAATGGAACCACCTAGACAGCAACCTGCACAATTCGTGAAAATTTCATGAAAATCGGATAAATGGTAGTAGGTACTGTGCCAGTTATATCGATTGGACTATAGACAGAAGCCGAACCACATTTGATCCTTGATGTCTGAAACGTAAAACGCGAGTAGAAATTTTCGATTCTGAGCACATTTTTTTTAATCTCTCGCACGAATACAGTGCTTCCTTACCTTCGGTAGTGAGGAAGCAAAAGTTTACGAGATCAAATCCCGGAGGCTTTTTAACTGGTATATTAATCTCCCGTTCTCACACTTGGTCCTGAAAAAGCACCGTATAGCCTAAAAGGCTAGGAAGGAGAGAAAAAAAATACAGAAACAGAACGAGCATGCCAGTTAGCCACACCACCAACTAGTTTAACCGATGGTCATTCAACAGGTCATCAAATGTTACACAAGTTTTTTTCATGAGATGTCCTGATAATAGGTCTCATTTATTTTAAATAAAGATTAACTAGATGAAATAAAGACCTAGATCTGTAGTCTTACCAACCTAGATACTGCAACCTATCCCTTTTCCACTCCAAATCACCATAATCCGACTGTTTACTCCATCCGTTATGGTCCTCGGCGGTTCACGTAATGATAGCTTCCCAGTAACAGAAAAATAAACAAAACGCTCCAATACTTTGCCAAGGCTTTCCTACTGGAGAAGGAGGCTCCCAGTGAAGGGGCGACCTTGTGAATTAGTCTGTCTCCAGATCCACACGAAACTGGAATCGATTATTGCAAAAAAAATTATTATTTTTTTTTAATATTTTGTATTTTCATAAGATATAACAATTTCATTAGTATTTGAAGTTTTTTTTTTCTCCTAGGAAACAGTGATAGTTGGATTCAAGCGAGGATGATCATATTTTTATTGACTATACAACTTATCAGGTATGTAACTTAACCACTTACTAAAAACAAAACAAATAATTTATGTTATTAAAATATTCTATTTATATTATGAATAAAAAGTAATAAATAAACCATGGCTTAGTTCAGTAGTTAATTAAACTGTTTGCAGAAGAAACAGTACTTCTGCTGGAATTTCCTTTTTAAAAAAACTGTATTTTTAATTTCACATATTCTAGGGATAATTTTAATAGGGAAATCTTTACCTTTTCGTTTTATGATAGGGTATTCTAATCTATCCCAACTATTAGTTCAGAATTAAAATAATAACAAAACTAGATAACATTATATTTTATTAATTAACTAATGTATAATTTAACGGTTACATATAAACCACCAATACACTCACTCACCTATTATTAAATTCAATAAGCAGATGCCCCATGGAAACTTATTTTTTTATAAATTTTTCTTCCTAAACCTTTTTTTTTTTACTTTTTCTTCCGAACTAAAATATATGACTAATATGACAGTAACTAATAGAGTCCAGGGAACATAATATCATGAAAACTCACACCAGAAGAAAGTAAATACTTAATTTCAAGAGGCAGCTAAAATATGGTATTATTTTTTTTATTTAAAATTATATTTTTTTCAGAGATTTTAATGGTAAAACTAACAATATATTTTATCAAAATATATGAGGACTTGAAATGGAATGCTAACGTTTATTTTTAATTAGTTTCAAACCCCAATCTTTATTTTCATTTGTTTAGTTCTGTTAGAACTATAACTTTTCCTCCATGAAATATTTCAATAACCGTCCTAATATAACTTTTATTTAAACATTTTTTTAAAATAATACAGTTTGCCATAATTTAAATATTAAAAAATAAGAACCATGCAATTCAAGAGAAATTATAACTGTAATTTAAGCACAATTATTGTTTATTTCTCAAATAAAGTAATTGTTTTTTAAAGAACATTAATAACTAAAATTTAGACTTTTGCCCAAAATGCAAATGTTTATTACTAAAACGATGCTTAGGACATGTTAATATTAAAATAGAACATTTTTTAAAAAATGTCATAACTTTCAACCTATGAAATATCTAAACTTGGTTTTTAACAGTAGGTCAGTAAAGAAAAACCTGTAACAGACTTATTGACACATAAGATGAACTAATACAGAAAATGTTAAACTGGTTTCTATTATAGAGTTGAATGTCAGCTTAAATAGATAGCTTTCTCTATCATCCATTGCATGTAAATTGATTAATATATGAAGTAGCTCTCTGATTCCATTATTTACTCATCACTATCTCAATCTAATATGATTGTTAATTTTTGATAAATATTTACCATTTTTTGTAAATTATTGCAATAAGTCACATTAAAGGACAAATAGTTGTGATATATGTACTCATTTATGTGGTAATAAAAATTAAGTGAAAGATATTATTTAGAAGCATGACAGTTTTCTCAAATTGAATACATTTTTTTTAAACATCTTTCATACCTTTTCTGATATCAATTGTTTTGTAGCAAGATCTTTGCCATGGTTTCCTAATTTTTATATAGACATAACGGGTTTCATTCATCACCAAACATAACACTGTTAAACATTAAATTAGCATCTTCCAAACTAGGTCACTTCCAAGATATTCCAAAATGAACGACATAAAGAGCAATAACAACAAAATAAAAACTTCTATAATTATTTATACATCAAAGACTGAAAGATTTTTTATAAGCGTTTATAGGCTAAGAACACACAATTGCAGAAAATAACTTTTCAATAATGCATAAATTTAAAAGTATTACATTATAAATATACTTATTATAATCAGTACACTAATAAGTACACATACATATATATACATAAATATATATATATTAAACAACGAAAAACAATTCACTATTTTATGTATTTTAACAACACTATATGAATTTTATTAAAATTACATATATAAATGTATTATTTAACCTAAAATACTACTTTAACCTAACATTATACAATTTGCATGGCTGAATAACTCATAAAATGATACCTAAAATTTACTAGGTCTTATTGGTAGCACTTGAATGAAAAATCTCAGCAAATATAAATTACACTTTTTTTTTAGTATTTGGTTGCATTGCATATACCCATTCTGAAAGATATTTTAAACATTCCATGTATTCTCTGTAATTTAAGAAAAAGCATTTTGGGATACAATTACATTTGAATTAATGTATCCAGAAACAATCATATTAAATTATATATAAAGGTTGGAAACTAAATATAGAAAAAGAATTTAAAAATATTATAATTATTAAACTTCCTATACCATTAAGCATTTAAAAACAGAAAAATACTATTCTTATAGATGGTGTCTTCAAGGAATATATAAGCCCTTATACTTTCAAATTTTTTTATTCTACTTCCACGGACGTTTCGAGCTGATTAGCTCAGTATCAAGTCATCAAAACGTTTTAATCTACTAAAATGTATTTCTATATTATAATTTTATTTAACAGCTATTTATGACTTGATAATGAGCTAATCAACTCAAAACGTCATTGGAATAAGAATAAAAATTTTGAAAGTATAAGGGCTTATATATTCCTTGAAGATACCATATATAAGAACATTGAGTGCCCTTGAAAAGTACTAACTACTATAGTAGCTAAATATAAGAAAAATAATAGTTTTAATAAAATAGTAATAAATATTAAATCCATATAAATAAATTGATAATTCAATCAAACTAAAATTATGAGATAAGAATAACACAATTAACAGTTCAACGAAGCTATTTAACAGATGAATTAGTGTAATTTTAAAATTAAAAATACGTAATTTAATTTTATATATTTTTTTCATTGTTTAAAAGCATATCCCAAGCACAAGATAAAAGTGAAGAAGCATGGAATGCCTTTTACATTCAGCAGGTGACAGAACCAATGCAGCATTCAGAAGGACCTCACTGGGTACCAGAAGAGCAGGCTCTTTATTTTGTCGACATTTCTGGTCATGGGGTACACAGGTATCAACCCTTCACCCAACAACATACCTCAATAAAACTAAGTATGTAGTTCTTATTGAAATACAAACAATACATTAATCAAAAACAATAATAAAGGCTGGGGATGATCTTTTTTTTATCTCCCCTTCCTCGACTTTCAGGCTATATGGTATTTTCCTAGGAAATGGAAGAGAGCGAGAGATTAATGCTAGAGTTAAAAGCCGCTCTGCCACCTTAGCCAGGCCTTGTGTGCTGGGCAACACATGTTAGCTTGCTCAGACACCTTGCCGCTTATATATTAAAGTGTCTTTAAGGAACTGGACGAGTTGAAATTTAATTTGTAGCACCACTCTACCAAAGAATAAATCTTGACTTTCTCACTCTGGCTAGAATAGATTAGTTGCCAGTATGATAACCACTCCTGATGCCAGCAAATACAAGTTAAAGTATTAATGTTAGGACCTCACGGGAAGTTTTTTTTAGGGCAATATTAATAAAACAAAATTCATACAATATTAATTATTGTTCATTAATTAATTTTTTATGCTTCCCAGAAAACCTATTTTGAGTATTGATAAATAAATCTATATAAAATATTTTGAAATGAAGGTTTCTGAGGATAAAAAAAAATTTTACTCACTACAAAGTCTCCATATGGTGAAAAAAAAGATGAAAAATAAAATCTGAATATTACAGTTTCGTCAAAGCCAATCTTTTTATTTTATACTTCCATTTTATTTTGAGGATTGATGTTTTAACCTAAATATGAGAACTATCAACCAGTAGAGCTGAGTGCGAAATAAAAGTTGTGAACTAGTCATATGAATAGTATGAATTTCAATTTTCAGGGCATATAATTTTTTTATGTTATCTGAAACTATCATTTTATCACAACTGTTAAAGCATTTTTAAAAACCAAAATATTCTACAATGAAAAATAGGAAAAATTGCCATATTTTAAAATTTTAAGATATAAAGTATCTGAAAGAGGTCAACACTATGTTGCATTTTTGAATTTGTTCAGGGAGCCAATTTTCCGTTACTTTGAGCTATTAAAATTTGTTTCTTCATTAATAAATTATCTAATAAAAAAATGGACATGTTGTTTACTTCTGGGGCACAGATTTAAGAATATGCAAGTTGAATCATGAAAAAAATAAAATTGGTTTAAATTGAAGTAATTTTACAAAAAGTGGCTTTTTCTCAACTTTTTATAAATGACAGATGTCCATCTTTGGTATCAGGCCACTCAACTGCAATATGGTAAGAATTGTAACTTGAAAAACAACAAATATTGCTAATTATATATCTCATCACATCTGTCTTCTGTAGGCTTTCCACACTAAAAAAAAAACTTAAACTTCAAAGTTTATTTATTTTCTAATCACCCCCATATTCTCCAAGAATTTATTATATCCAAAAAATTGAAAGTATAAAAATAGCAACTCAATTTCTTAAAAATGTGACTATTTTGTGAATGGGATCTCAGACGTATATCATAAAATACTGCAGATACCGTGGAGTTTTAAATGGAAGAATATAATGATAAAAAAAGAAAAACAAGGAAATCCAAAAACATATTCTTTATTTGTATTAATGGCAAAAACTAACAACTATATACAACCATTCTACTAAAGAATATATACTGGCAAAATATTTTTAAAATATAAAATGGAAGTCAATAGGCAACCATTATTTATTTCTAAGAAAGACTCAAATTAACAATTATATACCATAGCAACTCAAAATGTCTGTTTCAGATGATACCGTGAGTTTGATAATACCAGTCCAAGGAAGAAGTACAGAATTTATTATTGGATATGGAAGAAAGATATCTCTACTGAGTTGGGATGGAATTTCTGATGTGTACACTCTTCATCATAAATTTGAAGTAGACAGAGACAAACCTGGTAATAGATTCAATGATGCAAAGGCAGATCACCTAGGCAGGCTTTGGATAGGCAAGTACAAAACAACAGTTTATAAAACACAACTGATCATAATCACTTCCTGTCAAAGGGATCAGACCAAACTTTCATATTTCCTGGTTGTATTTCATCTTGTTTTAAATGAGCCCTGTTCATAGCTTGCATTCTTCTGTACTCATCGGTGTTGAGCATTGGGCGTACGACAATAGGAAATAATGCCGCGCCAATGAAAGCCACAAAACCTCCAATAAATACTCCATACCTCCATCCTGTCAATTTAGCCATTTGGATCTGACGAAACAAACCAACCAATTCAGTTAACCAAACTGAAACCTCCCTTGTTGTTTTAAAATTTCGCAGTGTTGCCAATGATATGAAAAACTTATCTCTAAAAAGTAGCTCATATTGAAAAATAAGATACTTATTACAATAAATCCCAGAAGTACCCAGAAGGGGGTTTCATGTTGGGAGTTGCACCATAAAAAATTTTAAGGGGATTATATTTTGACGGAATTTTGAATTTTTGAGGGGGCTCACATTTCGAGGAGGTTATGAATTTTCGGATTGAATAGTTTCAAACCAGGAGACAAAGGGAATGCATGGAATAAACCTTAGCAACTATAATTGTATATGGTCTATGATACTTTTATTTCTAATGTTTTTAAGAAGAGGGATGCAATAAAATAGCTTGGAGAGGGGAGGGAGAAGGTTTATGGGCCATCAACCTTGGGGAGGATGGGCACTCCTGATAGATCCTATTTCTCTGACATTTCAATAAATTGAAATTTATACATAAGAAAATAAGTATCAGATAATTATTGCAGTTCTAAAGCTATCTCAATAATAAAAACTTTTATAGAAGTTTATTAATTACCCTAGGATTTGATGATGTCATGATTGCTTTCTGTACCTTTTACATTGCATGGATCTTTTCATATTTTATTTTATTTTTGTATTTCATTATAATATATTTTAATTCCAGTCAGAGAACTAACTAGTTATGGAGTATTGTTTTTTAATCAATTATTTATTTTTTCAATCCCAATTTTAAGTTCTGGAAATATTGGACTTAACAGTTTTTTTCTGGTATTTTTTTTTCTCAATGATAAGGAAATTAGTAGTTTTAAACCTAACTTTATTACCCCAATAAAAAGTTATTTTAGACTAAAACCATAATTTTTCCAGATTAGTCATTATAGACTCATTAAAAATAAATAACTGAAAATATCTGAAACTTTAAGAATTTTGGCATGAGATCTCCTCAAAGTATTTTGTTTCCTATTAAATGAATTGTGTTTTTTATTTTATTTAAATGTTATTAAATTTAACTAGTATGAAACATTTCAAAAAGTTCTTTAGTGTCAATAATAGTGAAGCATATCTTTTGTTACTCCTTAAGTTATCCTCGAGCTTATGTTTTGACCCATATGACAGTTCATTATTTACAGTGAAAACTATTTGTTCAAAAAGCTATTTTCAAAACTTTTATTCTCTTCCAAAAATTATCTTTATCCCTAATATTCATTGTTTACTGTATGAAATTGACTGAAATATATCCTTCTTACTAAATTGCAAAATCTTCCTCTATCAAACAGTGTCCTGCGTTTTTTCAAATCCTTCCTTTCCGATCGATCCCAAAATGTAGTTCTTCTAGATCAACCTCCTTCAAAGACACTTCCTCTCTTCTCTGGTCTCACTCAGGGTTCCTCCTTATCTCCTACTGTGTTTGCTATTTACATTAATGACCTTCCCCTCCTGATCCATCACTCCCAATACCACATCTATGCTGACGATTTCCAAATATACCTGTCCTCCCACCCTTCTGACCTATTAGCCGCCACAAAAAAGCTTCAAGAAGATTTAAATAGAATATATGAATGGGCAGGAGCTAACAAGCTGAAGTTGAATGCCGAAAAGACCGAGCCAATCCTAATAGCCTCCAATCACCTCCTCAAAACTGTTCCTAACTTTCCAACGCTGTTCCTACATGATAATCCCATTAAATTTTATCAAACCATCAAAAACCTTGGAATAATCTTTGATCAAACCCTTTCTTGGAAAAACCATGTATCCAATATCTCCCAATGTACATTTTCCACGCTAAAACACTTAAACAGCCTGCGACACCTTTTTCCTTTTGAAATTCGTAGACTCCTGGGTACCTCCTTAATATTTTCCCACTTCGACTATTGCTGCACAGTATATGGGGGCGTCTCTGGGGATCTCGAGGCTATCAAACTAAAACGTTTGATAAATTGCTATGTATGATTCATCTTCGGGATCCCAAGAAACGCCCCTGTTTCCTGTTTCTATGAAGAGTTAAAATGGCTTTATCCTTCCTACTGACATAAGTATTTCCTGGCATCCTTCCTCTTCCAAGTAATTCACTCCCGCCGTCCTTCATACATCTCCGAGCTCCTTCAATTTAAATCCTCTGTCCACTCCCGCAATAGCCATTCCTGGTCTTCAGATTTATATATAATGGCCCACCGAACTGCTGCTTTCGATTAATCTTCTATTGTTTGATCCTCAACCCTATGGAACTCCATCCCTCCCCACATTCGTCAATCCAAAACCCTCCCTACCTTTAAATCCCGACTGTTTAATTATTTCTTATCCATCTAGTCCTCATAAAATTGTAAATAGTTACTACTGTAAATATGTATATAAATTATTAGATTGTTTTTCATTATTTTTACTTCATGTTTATTTTCAATTTTTTATTTTTATAATTAACTGATTTAAATTAGGAAGTAACTTATAATTTCTTTTATTTTGACTATTTAATCAAACTATATTCTTGTTTATGTATCTCTGAGGTTCCTTAGCCCACATTTTTGTCTTTCTGTATTATTCTAAAGGGATTCATTCCAGAATAAATAAAGCATTATTATTATTATTATATTATATATTATATATTTCTATTACAAAATAGTAGATTCATACAAATATCTCAAACACAGGTGGATTTATGAGAGGGGAGGGAAGAGGCTTTCGGGCTAAAGCTCCCTGCCTCCAAAATATAACCAAGTCTTATGAAAGAAATATTTTAAAAATATCCCTAAAAGTATTATTATTCATTTAATTACATTTGATAGGACTACAAGGACCAATTAAACACCATTTCATATAGTTTCTAATCGTCATATGTATAAAAAAAAAAAAAAAAGCTTTTGGGCTGAAGCCCCCTCAAAATTAAATCCTAGATCCGTTAGTGATCTTAAGTTATTGTTCTTATTTTTCTAATAGTTAGTTATTGATGATTATAATATTTTCAATACCACTTTTCATTAATTTTAATTATTAAACACAAAAGATGAAATGAATTATTAGATTACCCTATAAAATAAACTTTTTTATATTTACATTACTTTGATGTTTAATTATCCTATTATAGGTACAATGGGTGAAGAAAAACCTATTGGAGTTGTGCAGCTGAACAAAGGCTCCTTATTCAGAGTGTCTAAAACTTGCACCCTCGACATAGTTATGTCACCTGTCAGTATTTCAAATGGCATTACATGGGACCAGGGCGATATGTCCATGTACTATATTGACTCACCGACAAGAAAAATAGATATTCTTGATTATAACTCCTGTAGTGGAAAAATAAGTAAGTTTATGTTATTCTGTTTGGAAAACAAATTATTTCTATACTATAAAAAGGTTTATTTGGACTACTTTCTGTTTTCTGCCAACAACTGAAAGACTGCTTATTTTTACAGCTAAACGAAAGACCTTTTTTGATTTTGCAAAGAATAATATAACTGGAGTTCCCGATGGTATGACTATTGATACAGATGGTAACCTTTGGATTGCTGCTTGGGGTGGCGGAAGGGTAAACTAATTAAATCTTTACTATAGCTCCTCTGATAGAGCAATAAAAATTTCTTATAATACCCTCTGTTAGTACTTAATTTTCACCTACTAACTGTTATAAGCATCATGCAAAGATAAATATACATGTAAAGTTCATTGTTTGAATATTAATAAAGAACTTACCTTATTTGTTATTAATGGAATAATAACAATTTGATTAAGTAACCTATCAACAAATATCATACTTATTGGAATTGCTCAAATATAAATAATTAAATAATATGAGCAATAGATATCTGAAAAAATGGCACTTTATCGCATATTTATTAGTAAGTGGGCATGGAATTTTATCTGTGCCTAGGTACGAATTACACGATATCTTCTTTTATTATAGGTTCTGAAGGTATCCTCAAAAGGACAATTGTTGGGTTCTATCTGGATGCCAGTACAGAGGCCCACATCTGTTGCCTGGGGCGGACACGATTTTGAAACACTTTTTGTGACCTCAATGCGATTAGGCTTAAATAGCAGCGAACTTCTAAAGCAGCCTGCAGCTGGTGCATTGTTTGAGGTGACAGGTCTCCAAGCACGTGGTCATCCAGCTTACAGTGTCTCTAGCTGTTATTTATCTTTACCTGACATCGAATAACACCGATTTTTAAGGGTTTCCATAAGATGCATAATTAACTGCATTTTTGTATTTCTGAAGATCATTCTGGATTAATTTAATAGTTAATTTTATCTTCAAATCACAAGTATTAGGACAAATATTCAATTTAACCAAAGCCTAAAATTAAGTTAATCAGATACTTTTTATTAATATAGTGAAAAATAAGTGATTTTACTAATTAAATAAAAGACTTTCAAAAGCTTACTTACAGAATTTAATGAAAGATATATATATATATTTTAACTATCAACCTTTTCTATCTTGGAAATCTTCAGAGAAAACTAATTTGTCTCAAATAACAATTCTGAAATAACTTTTTGAAAAACATCCTTACTTGAAGAATGATGTTATTAGGGAACTTTTATAAAGATACTTAATTTATGTCTGACTGCATATGTAGGTAGATTAGAATGCATTGATAAGCCTAATATAAACAAAATATGAGTACTGTTTTCATATTCTAAATCAAATAATTATTTGTGAATTCTCAGAAAAGTATTATGGGGCACCCAAAGTTTCAAAAGTAAATATGAGTATTCAAAAGTATTAACAAACATCAAAATAATAGACAAGTTATTCTTTTTTGATAGTATAAATAAATATAGTTAATTCAATCCTTCAGATTCTATATTTTTATTTAATTATTGATGTTACTTGGGCATAACTAAAAATAAGAATGTTCACATCATAATTTATTGTTTTCAGTTATAAATTAAGATTAATCAATTTATAGATAAAATAGTAATGTGTTGTGATTTTTTTTATTAATCATTATAATAAATTTTTAAAAAATCTTGTCTTTACATTTTTAATATTATAAATATGTTTCTTGTTTTTAATATTACATTTTTAAATTTCTTAATATATACACACACTAAACAAATAGCCTAGGGTGTTTCTCCTACCTTGTCTAAGTTCCAAATATGTTTCTAGTCTGGTGATCGCAATGTCAGCATTGTTGCTTGAGTGGAAATTATATATTTAGTAAGTTATTGAATCTGATTTTCTAGAAAAAATTCGACATGATCAAAAATAAACTTTATCGACAGAATTTCTATTAGAAATAAGTTAAATAAAGTAATATTAAATAAATATGTATAATAGGTGACGGTAATTGTAGTTGGTGAGGGACCGCATGGTAAACCAAAATCCAGGTGGGTCGATAAAATTTACAAAGATGCTGCTGATCTGCATGCAGCAAACTAGAAAGCAATATCTAGGCCAGAATAGGAAGAGATAATAAAAACTGGTTTAGATAGATAAAGATCTCGAAGGTCTGTTAAGACCACAGAAAAAATAAAAAAGTATATAAAGTAAGGCTTTATTTTTTTCACCAAATTTATTTTCACTTTTCTTCCACATCAGCTACGTTTCGACTAAGATTTCATTTTCAAGCCATCTGTAATACCCAAACACAATTAGTTTTATTTGAATTAATTGAATTGTGAATTAACTTAATGACTTAACCCCATTAGAGTTATAGTTTATATAACGTTGCTTTTGACTAACATGACTATCATATTATGATAAATGTGGTTTTGTATGAAACTGATTGTGTATGGGTCTTATAGATGGCTTGGAAATCACATCATAGCTGAAATGTAGCCGATGTTGAAGAAAAATTAAAATAAATGTAGTGAAAAAAATACAGACTTACTTTATATAGTTAAACGTGATTTCATCTTAAATATAAACATACATTAATTTAAAAAAAGTATTTACACCGATTACAGAGATTAAGATGATTTTTCCTTTACTGAAAAGTTTGTTTTGCATTTTTTCTGATTTTGGTGTATGTGGACGGGCGCGCGCTTGTAATTGTATGTATATATCTGTGGCTTGTTTATAAAAGAGCCGATTTCAATTATTTTTAAGAAATAGTTTTATTTATAATAATAGTTTACATTTTAGTAAATTAGCAATTATAAAAATTTCAATGTAAAAATAAACAAAAAGAGGTTACATTTTCATTATAATGTCAGGTAATCTCATTGATAGTGTTTTTTTATTCATTTCTAAAATGGCCGAAGTTTATATGAAGATTCTTGATTTATTGATCATTCTCGAGATGAATCGTAATTCTTGTTGAAAGCCTTTTAGGCGCTATGGTTACCATGGGGTACTTATCAGATGTTTAGGTTTTAAATATTAAAATAATGCATAGTTTACATAGTATAGAAAGAAACTTTTTGATATTTTTAATAAATAAAGAAATATTCAGACATGGATCTGTAATCTTAATACCTAATAGACTTCTATATGCTTAGTAAGTTTGTTTGTTGGGGTTTTAAAGCAAAGAACATCAGGGTCGTCAACACCTGACTCTTAGTAAGTAAGAAAACTACAAACTCTTCCGTTTCAAAAACAAAATAATAATAATAATAATATTGAGCGAGTACAATAGTGGATCAGTCAAATGCATTAAAGAGAAGGATAGTCTTTTACTATCTAATGTGAGAATTTTCACTAGAGAAAACTTGTATATTATTATATGTATGGAATATAAATAAATATTAAGATGTAAAAGTTATTTTTAAGTTGTTCGTTTTATTAATTTATATAATCATGTAAATAATTGTTTTATCATTTTATCAAATGTATAAATTTAGTATTTAATTTTAAACTTTATTTTTTAGTAAACTTCCAACTCAGCGATTCTTTCTGTAGATAAATAAAGATTTCTTGAACATATTTAAATTTTTTATTCATTAATGTTCCTCTACAGTAGTGGTCCTACATTACAATGGCAGTCATGTTTATTGCTCGTGATGATAGACTTTATCGACAAGCAAAACCATTCATGTAATTAAGTCTTTGACTGGGGGAACTCATTCACGAGTTTCTACCATACGTTGCACTCTGAAATCCACAAAGAGATCCAAAAAATAGAATTTTTTTGTGCATAAATTTGTTTAAAATGTTATTTTGAGTCATCCTGCAAGATCTTAACATTCAAAAATGCATTTTAATGTTTCAATTCAACTTTTAAAAAACTGGATATACCTAGTTCTGTCATAAATTTTGTTACAAGGAAATATAAACAGATTTCAACAGAAAAATTATTTTTTTCCAAAACTTAGAAAATAAAATGTATAAAAAAAAAAAGAAAGAAAGAAATTACTCAAAATGTCCCATTTTTGCCTTGACAGAGGCATTTAATCTCTGAGGCCAATCATCAATAACAGCATGCGGAAAGCTTCAATAACTTCTTGAGGAAAGCGCTCATCTGCACAGACTAGAGATTGTTTGCGGCTTTTCAAGTTGGAGTGTGCTCTGTGACATGTCATCGTCTCCAGTTCGGACAAAAGCTGATAAGCTAGTGGGTTCAGATCAGAACTTCCTGAGGGCCACTCTGAGGCAGAGATGAACTCTGGAATGTTCTTTTGCAGCCACTTATGAGTTGACCTGGCATTGTGAGCTGGAGTGGAATCCTGCTGGAAAACCCAATGACTTTCAGGAAACAGAGTATCATTTAGAGGCTTGACAACAGGTTCCAAAATATTGTCATGATAGTTCATAGCGGCTGTTTTAACTCCTTTTTCACAAAAATGGAGCTTTGTAGTACCATCAAAGCAAACTCCCCAACAAGATATGACACCCCATCACCACTGAGGAAAGGTGGCAGTTTAGAGCTGTGTGCGTACACACGATTATTTTGATGATTAAATTTGTCTTCAATTGTAAAAATTTGTTCATCGCTAAAATAAATCTTTCGATGAAGACCATTGGTGTAACAGCCAAAGAGCACTTTGTATCTATTCACTCTAATTTTTTTTAGGGAAGTGGTTAGCCTTTGTCCTGTCATTCTTCGAAATGAACCCATCTTAAGGTCACTTTTTATTATGCGAGATACTGATCTGACAGAGATCCCATTTCCCGAGACATGATTTATTGTTTTTGAATAGGATTTTTTCTGATTCGAGCAGCAACTGCTCTCACTGCATTTGTGCATGTGCGGGGACGGTCCAGTAAAGGTCTACCACATACAGATACGGTCTCATTATATTTATTTATAGTGTGGTAGATGAACATATGACTGATACACAAAGGTTTCAAAGTGTTGAAAATTTCTGACCTACAAAATATATATACATCAATGATAATAATGAAAAATTAGTTAAATAAATTAACATAAAATTCTCTATGCAGTAAAGGTGATATTTTGTAGTCTCCAACTGCTATAAGTAGTCTGCTAAATAGAAAAATAGGAGGAAGAAATAAAATACAAAATTATACTAATAAAGCATGAAGAAATAATCGTTTTTTTGGTATTCTTTAAAAAAATTCAATTTTCACATGCGACCTTTTGCATTAACAGTAGCAATATGCATTATGAATATTAGTGTACCAAGTAATATCTTTTTTTTTTTCATTGCTAGTTAGAGAAGATTCCCTTACCTATCTTTTTTCTAATAAAAGATAAATACATATTTTAAAAACAAATTTATAAATTATTATTGACTCCCCTCCAAATGGTAAATGGGACAAATTAATAGCTTCAGCGAATTTTTTTTTATTATTATATAAATGCATTCTAGGCTGATAGTAATCTACATTTCATTTCATTTTTACTAGTTTGTTTTCTGTGCATTTCAGGCATCTAGAACCATTTTTCTAAAACCATAGAACTATTCAGATCAATAAAGTTGTTGATCATTGGTCTAATATTTATTTAAATAATAAAAAAAAATACGGTAATGAATATAACATATATGAGAAGAAAATAAATTAATTGTTTTACTAAAAACAAGTTATATTAGGGATGAAAAACACCCTGTTAATGTTACATTTAGAGAGGCTCAATGAAGACTCAAAAATAAAATATTTTATTGATTAAAACTATTATATGATTGTACCACACAAAAGTTACTTTTATGAATATTCATAAAACATATTAACAAAGATTTTTTAATGAACACATTTCAGTAAAAAGCAGATACTTTTTTTTTTTTTTTTTAATAGTTCAATTCATAGTCTACCATTAGTTAATTGCTAACGAATTCTTTAAACAATAAAAAAAAAAAAAAAAAGGGACTATTGTATCCAGGAGTATTCCTTGCTTCACTTCAGTCAAGAAACAAATGTTAATTATCTAACTTTCTTCTAGGGAGTTATATTGATGAACAAAACTGACTGTTAAATTCTGACTTTTTAAAACATTCTGCTTTTCAATTATCATAACTACATATAGATATTCTGATAAAATGTATATAGGAATCAACACATTTATAATAACTATTGCTATTAATAATTAAATCAAAATTGCATTCACCGACTGTTTTTATTTTATTTTTTATTGAATGTTTAGCACGAAAATCTATTAATCTGAATAAAGATTCAAGGACTCTTGAACCTTTTGAATTTTTTTTAAACTAGCCACATATAGCAGTAATTAAAAAATTATACTCTCATTTCTGATCAATTATTAGTTCCAAGAAACTTCATAAGATTATAAAAATAAAATAAATAAATAATGATCCATTGTAATAGTATGACAACTATCATATAGGTATATTTAATATTATTAGCATTAATTTGGGCTTAATAAGAGTAAATAAATAAATATTGGCAATATTCTCACATAACATTAACAATAATACTAAGCAAATATATTTTCTTTTTTCTGCTTACAGAGTTCAAAAACTGGATGTATTCGTTCTTGGAACTCATATCTAAATGATTAAGAAAATATTGTAGTCAGAATCTCAGAAGGTATCAGTTGGTTTTAAGTTTAATCTTTAGTAACTTATTTAGTCTGTAATTTTTATGATTGACTAATTATCTGAATCAAAAGAAAAAGTAATAATCAAAAAGTAGTTTAATGCATTTACTTCTTTAGTACTAATAAACATTCTTTTTTTTTAAAACATATTATAAGCAATTTCTAATTTTTAATATGAGATTTAAACTGAATATAACAAAGTATGTAAGTGTTAATTAGTTCCAATACCTACTTCAACAAAATTAATATTCTATAATTAGCAAAGCTAATACCTAAATGTATTTCCTAAATACTAATTTTTCATTTCAAAAAAGAAGAAGTTATTTAAATATGCATATAAATGAAGGCTTTGATCATAATTACAACTTTTAAATAATGAAATTAGCTTAAATGAAATTTCTTTAAGTGAAAAACAGTACCTTGGCTGACATAATCACTTCACAGTTATTATATTAAGCAATTTATTACATATATTTTAACAAGATACAAATTTAAAATTATATGCAATGTTCATTAATTTTTTATAAAGAAGTTGTTAATGATTTATCTATTATTATTTTTTTAATATTTATAGAATAATGTCTAACTCCTGGAATATTATTATTCCTTTATTGTGTTAAAAAAATACTGAATGAATACAGGGATGGCATTTTTTTTTCCTGGAACATAAACAATATAAATACAATATTATAAACTATGTCTTCTATATTTTAGAATTAGTTAGTATTGAAGTTTATATTAGTTAGTAAGATAACTATAAACGGAACGTTAATATAATGTGAAAATAAAGGCTTTGTAAACCTGTACCCAACCCATGAAGACTTTTCTTGTCAGTACTTGGCACATTTATCATCTCTTGAAAAACGATTAAAGTAGGATATGATGAGGTCAGCATCAGTGCTCAACAATGTTAATTTTTAAACCAATTAATATAATTTAATACAATATTATATTTTATTAATATGCAGTTAGCTCGAAAACAACTGTTTAATAAAAAAAAATGAATAAAAAAGCCGAACTAATTAATCGATTATTTTATTAAAAAAATATATAACAACCAATTCATTAAATAAGAAATGATATAAAATAAAAAAATGGAATAAATTGAACTACAGATATTCTAACCAAAATCATCGTGATTTTTGTGGTAATAACATTTTAACTGAATTGAGAGACATCGCTGACTAAACATTTTAAATGCAGTCAATATATATTTCTACCTCTTTGGAATGTAGCTCAGTGTAACAGCCGGCTTCATCTTTATCAGTTCACTTGTCCTCTGTGACATAGTTATCTATTGGGACTGTTGCATTTTTTTTTTTTTTAATTGAATTTTATCTGCATAACCATGGAATGCCCAGGTATGATTTTGTCAATATCTGCATTAAATACTTATTTATTTTCTTAAGCAAATAAGTGTACTTTACAATTGAGTTTATCGGATCGGCGTATTATATTGATTGATATTATTAGTTTAATAATTTTAGTTGTTGATGTTTTATAATTATTGTTTAAAAATTTTTGAAATTGTTAAAGCTTGTTACATGAATGCGTTGCATTTTCGTTGTGTACTACATATATTAGAATACTATATATTTCGAAGAGATTAAAAATCATTAAGGATAGCAATTTATTTTTAAATACTATTATTTAGTCAGCATAAACAGTTTTCTTTACAGAATATTTTTGATTTATTTTTTAAATTTATAATTTTAATATTTATTAATTTTTGAAAATTTAGAATCATATGATTTTTTTTTATTCCTATAAATCATCAATTGTTGTTCAAATACTTCCTAATTAAATTAATGTTTGAAAATAGTTGTGTTATTTCAAGATATTTGATTGAAATTTATGATATTTGAATGATAATTAGTTCTGGTGTTTTAATGATTATTACTTTGGATAAATCAATTTGTTGAATATGTTCCTACTTCAAATGGTTTATAAAATCTCATTGATTGTTCATAATCTATTGTTTGTACAGGTTAATGAATTATATTTTTTATTATTCATAATGATGGATGTTCTGATGTTGAATTACTTTTGAGTATTTACTGTTATTGTTGATTCATGGAGAAAAAAAGTAAACAACCAGTGGTTGCTTTATTTAAAAGTACCCTATTTTAAAACAAATAAATTTATAGTATGTCAATTGTTTGGTAGATGTTGTATATATTTACTTAACTATCCTTATGAATTTTAATCAGTGGATTCAGTAATAACTTAAAAGCAAGCTTCTTTTTAAATCATATATTAAATTAATAATTCATTAAATTTAAATTTCCCTCAATTTTGAAATATTGTTTGAAAAATGTGAAAATATCTATTTCCATCATACATGGTGAAGAAATTGATTTAATTAATATTCTATAATAAATAACCTTTATTTCTCTTTGTTAGTTTTAGTTGTTTTTATTTCACCTTTATCCTACATTTATTAATTTGATATTATTATAATTATTGTAGAACTGTGTGAAATATTTATTAAGTTTAGCATTTTATTTTGTAATTAAAAGAATAAATATCATATTTCCTTATCAATATATGTACAGTTACTGCATATTACAACATTTATGAATATAAACTTTCCATGGAATATTTGCAATTAAGAGCTGATCTGAATGTAGTTATATTTTGTTGATAGGCAAAATTTCAAAAACTATTTTAACAGAGCCTTCAAGTGTAGAAAACTATTTGTTTTGACCATCTTATCAATATACCAGCAGGCTGTGATAAAATATTTATTTTTTCCAGCTGTGTTACATTTTTATTATTTTCGCTTATGTTTGTATATAATTTGTGCAATCGTGTTTATCAATTTTTCCATATGTTTTTAAAAGATATTTTTACGTTATTTCTCCTTATTATTTATTTATTTTTTCTTATTTGCTTTCTTGCCTTCGTATTGAACAAATAAGAGACACTTTTTGAGTTATATTTAAAAGTTACATATGGTTGGAAAAAAAGAAATAATAAATAAAAATATAGTTTTTACCGTTTTTATTTTATTTCAGATCACATGATAAACATGGTCCGTACATTTACGTCATAACGTTAAAACTACTATAAATGCTGTTAATTAATATACATGTATAAAAAAAAAAAAAAAAAAATATATATATACATCTCTTAACAACACAAGCATACTAACATTTATTCCAACAGTTAAAACTAAAATAACCACATTGTGACCCATTAATTCATAAAATTGGATTGTAGGTATTTTCTTTTTTTCCACTATTGAAAATAGTTTCTCATGGTACTTGAGCCGACGCATTCGTTTCTCTACGTGTGCTTGGAGTGTACTCTCAAAAGGGAAGGTCACCGATTTCAAAGAATTTTTATTTCTGTGATTGCTCATCGAGAAATCATAT